CACACTTGTTCTACCTCCACCCATCAGTGAGTACAATACAAAATGATATAGTTTATTTATCTTTTTGAATGCATAATATATTCTATTTTCAATAAAAACACCATTGAATTTATGTATATGTTATGTATTTTATGGGGCAAAGGGAGGCTGGGGAACGTAACTCTCGTATTTTATCTATTTCTTATGAGGAAAATTGATTCAGTTAACGTTGTTTCCGTTACCATCGCGGTTTTCAGGAACAGAACCACAATGTTAAGCGAGGACTTACTGTACAGAAATTATCATAATGTCAAAAACATAAAAGGAATAAACATTTCTTTGTGTGTGAAGGGGAGAGGAGTGTTGCAGCATCAGCAGATGTGGCCAGGCTGCCTTGCTATAGCGACGCTTGAGAGCAGCCATGTGTGAAGCAGCCAACGTCTATGTAAATGGCGCCGCTGGCGGTTGTGTTAAACTTTGATTTATTTTTTCCTTAATAGTTTTAGCTGCATATTTTCATCTAGATAACTTTTTGCCTCGCGCCCCCCCTCTGCATAAGCCCTAGATCCCACACCCCCTGATGCAACCCTTGGTTGTTATAGAGTGGGAGGGATGAGAAATTGTGTACAAGACGCGTTTTCCTGGCCAGACTTTTCTCTGACTGCTCCCCACAAGTTTAAGAACCACTGATCTAGATAGTATTTTATTAATATTTTAAATGTTTTAGGTAGCAAATTACAATAGTTGTGTGCTATTTATCATTAGTTATTATTATTTTTTTTGCGAACCAATTTTGTGTTTTGGGGGTTTGTTATTGGGGTACTTTTGTCATTGGGGACTCGAACCCTATTTTTCGTACATGTTCTTCTATCCGAGATAAGAAAATTCACCTAATAAATGTTTTTTTTTTGGGGTGGGGGGGGGTGGAACCTAACCCATTCGTATACTGTATTGAGGGATACCTGTACTAAATTTATTTTTCTATATTTTATTCCTACTTTTTTGTCCTATAACTACTCAAATAATTATTTACAAAGAAAAATGTAGATACCTGTACTGTATAGCATAATTTTGCCTCTCTGTCAAACCTGAATGTAATCATAATATTGTACAGAGTGGTCCCTCGGTTAACGAATGGTTCGATTAACGAATTACCTCCCATAAGGATCTTCAATTCGGTTAATGAACAAAACTTCGATTAATGAAATCCTTACGACAATCACGTTTTGTTGTGAGCATCAGCTGATCAGCTGATGGGCTAGTCTGCCAATTCAATAATCTGTTCTATGTTTACATTTGTTTCCAGTGGAGTAAATATCAAGAAAGTTGTGCTCTTTAATATTTTTGCATTTTTTATATTAAAATTATTAGTCATTTTAACATTTAGTTAACATATTGATAATATATGCAGTACAGGGAACTAGTTTTTTGTGCGCCCATCAGCCGCTTGACTCATCGACCAGGTGTCAGTTTGGCTTTGTTTACAGTGGAGTGAACATCGATTTTGTTGGAGTCTTGAATATTTTTGCATTTGTGCATGAAAATTATTGGTCATTCTGAAATTTAGTTAACATATTGATAATATATAGTGCAGTGCAGTGCTTATTTAAATAAAATAATCTTGAATTACACCTAGTGAACTTAAAATTTTATTGGTAAAATTACTGCATCAAGCATGGGTCCCCTGAAAGGTGATTTCTCCTCCATCCCCACTTCCTTCTCTTCTCCCTTCTCCTCCACCCCCACTTCTAATTCCCATCATCATCATCAACCAGTAACCTTCTACATACACACCTCAAAGTAAGTGTACTTAACTGCATTTTTTTTTTACTTTGTATGTAGTGTACTTTTCTGTGAGCTGGAACCAATTACCCAATATCCCATTGAAACAATGGATTCGGTTTACAAATTTTTCGGTTAACGAACAACTCGGTGAAATAAATTGTGTTTGTTAACCAAGGGACCACTGTATAGTAATACGGAAAGTGGAAAAGAGTATGACTTTCTAACCAAGACTTAAGATGAGATCCTTGATCATTTTAAATCAATCCAAAGACAATTTCCATTCAATAAAAATAAATAAATGGAAGGTTGATGAATGAAATTCCATTTCATGAGAAAAAGGAAGAAATGAATGAGGTATGAGATCCAGACTTCAAAGTGCGATCTCTGTACTCCCTGCAGAAAAAGCAAACATTTTAATGCCATATTACACTGTCTTGGTATACAAGCCTAGATTATAGTTTTGCTACAAGAAGTACTGCTCACCAAGTAGATTCAAGAATGAAATACTACCATCTAAACCAGTGATTGCCTCAGGTTTGATAGTTTTACTCTACTGCAATAGTTCACATGCTTTGAACCATCCTCAGCCATAAAAGAAATTTCAACGACATTATTCCCTCAGTTGGTGCTGATTTACATCATCACCACCACTGGCTTCCTCCCCTCAGTTATAACAGTCTTTATTTATGACCTATGGGTAGCCTTGAAGGACCTGTGAGATTCTAAACCAGCTAAGAACGAAACAGAGATGGTCATTTGTGGATGGTTAATATGCAGTATACAGTACACCCAATGAGGGAAGTAGCTCTTCTAAAACAAGAATTGGATTCACCTTATCTACTGCAATTAACATTGACACAGAGGCAGGATTATTTATTACTTCTTTAAGATATCAGGAGATAAAGATTTAAGTAGAGGACTAAGTTGCTTTATCTAGAATGCATATGATAAACATCCTGCAAAGACAGACCATATATGAAGTGAAACCAATAAATTCACATGTTCGTGGCTTATTAATTTGACAAGCAAATGAGAAAAGTATGTCTTGCTTCTTTGAACATTTGATGAGTCACTCAGGATTTTGAGGTTCCTTTTAAGTGTTTGTTAAAATTTAAATACAGTATGATTAAAAATCATAATTAACCCCTTCATGGGGATGTCACTTTTTATATTTTATTTAGCTAATGCCAGATTATTGTATTCAGCACAGAAAGGACCCTGTACACAAGGGGCTAAAAATGGATAAAGTGAGTGATGTTTGCCTGATTTTGTCTTCCAGGCAGATATCTGAACACATTTAGATTTAAATCAGAGTTACATTCTTGGCTAAGAATTTGAAACTAGACTTAATCTACTGGTAAGCACAATTCAAAGACAGACATCATCTGAGCAGAAGCAAACCTGCCCACCAACCACTATCAAGGTAGGGTGAATATCAAACTAGTGATCTTGATACTGCTGGAGACTGTCTTATGTAGTCATTTTCTTTAACCCCTGAAAAACCCTGTGTTAAATCACTGCATAAACTGTTACTGTTACGATATTTGGTATATTGTGGAACAATTGGAACCCCCAAAAATTAATGTGAACCTTTGATCAATTAACCTTCTGTGGACTTCCTCCTACAAAATGAAAAACCCAGACTTGCACTGATGTATTTACAGTACACTGAAAGGTCTGGTGGGAACCTTGGTGAAACTAACATGGCAAATGAGCAGACACCCCCAAACTTTCCTCCTTTTAAACTTTCAGGCAACTATGATATGATAAACATGTGGCAGGTGCCAGACTAAAGAATACCACAAAAAACAGAATGCACCCATAACACTCATTCTCCAGTACAGAAGTTGCTGTACTCCATGGAGACTGACAAGAATGTTTGACTGTCTACAAGATGGCGGGTAACAAAGGGGGTAGGAACTTGATCTTCCTTTAATGGCTGGAGGTGTGAAGCACACCAGCTAATGAAGTATAGTCTCACTATTTGAATTGGTGTACCTGAATCCTCACAGGAGACTTAATAGGCTATTGGTTCGAATAGAATAATTTCAATCCTGAATCAACTCAGTGAGCAGTGTTACTTTTAGTAAATATATCATCTGGTTTTGTTTGCCTGAGTAGTATAAACTGTCATTAAAATACAAGTTCTCTCTCTCTAAAGGGCACAGAGAGTTTAGTGGTATGGATCTCACAGTCCACTCACAACAACCTGCAAGTCACACAAGAAAAAAATTAAGATAGCGTATACATAAATATTTTACTATGAAATGCCACTTGAAATTCAAATTCAATCTACAAATGTTACAAAAAAAATCTTATTTAAATTAACAATTCAGCAAGGCAAAACCAGCTTTTCAAAAAACCTTCTCGCTTAAGTAATGAGAACTTCCAATGATCAAAAATAAAACAAGAAGGTAGCAAAAACATGACCAAATGGATAATACAATTATTCTTATTTGCACAAAGCTTCATTTACTTATGTAATCCATGCACGTGATATGATCAGTTTTAACTGTAACAGTATAGAGAGATGAAGGGAAATGTTAGTCATATAGAAGGGCTTAAGGGAAGAGAGTAAACGTTTTTTCTTTACTTCAATTTTCTTTTTAAGTTCATTAGTTTTCTGTAATGCCATGAGTATTTAAAATAAAGTTATTTTTCTTGTGATTTATAATTACTCATCTCCTCTTGTTTCTAAACATTGTTAGAAAAGATGATGACGATGGCTGAGCCTTCCATGATACTACTATACAGTATAGACTAATTTTTTTTAAATAAATTTAAAAGTACAGTACAGTAATGTTGCTGTGCAATGAATTATTCTAAAGTACAGGATTATCTAATTCAAAATATACTCTAATTACCCAGTAATGAGTACCAAAAATTTAAACTGAACATCAAAGCTATTATTTCATTTGTATTTCATATACAGTACAGCACTGTTGTACTGTTGTCTTACTCCATCACAAATTGACTCACTGATTTCTTATTATTTTTTCTACTATTCTCTGTAATGTTTAAGAAATTCTAGTGAAACTGTAGCTTTACTGTTCAGTTATAAAATGAAGTAAATAAATCACAAAACATTTCTAATTTCATAAAGTACTTAAGAAGAGACATTATTTTTTCTTTTTCATACTTAGCCAAGTTCCATGAGTGTCAGCTTATATTAATCTCAAAAATCTCTAAACCTATGCCATTACAATATACAAAAGGTTCAGAATTCTATATATTACCTCAGGAACAGAATGATAAACTGCCAAAAGTTGTTCTGTGCTCTTGGGGGTTCGTGGAGAAGAATCTGAGGTGCCGGTGGTTGTGGTGTTGGTCTCTGAGGTAAGGGAATAATTTGGTGCCCTCATGTACAGGTAATGATGAACACGGCCCTCACGAAGATCACCAGAGCTTGATGCCACAGAAGCTTGAGAAGGTCGTCTGGAGCCTCCTGATGAATAAATAAATATGGAAAGATCAAATAAATCAAAAGAACTAAACATAATTGGCACAGTCACACGAAAGCACTGTACACTGATGTCCGTCTCGACTGCATTTTCACTGAATTCCTTGCATCTGTAAGGTAAACGTAATCATGAAATTACTGTACTGAAACATTGTGAAATAATAAAGGGTCTGACTTTTAAGTCTATTAAGTATTCACTGTAACTATTCTAAATCTACTTTATAGAAAGTAGGTAGAAAATATCAAAGGCTAAAGGAAATTTATACTGTATTGGGAAGTTATGCTATAAATCCAGGTAAGGGAAAAGTGAACAGTTCAACCTTATGTAGGGTGTTAATCATGAGGTGCTTCAAAAAGCCATTGCAATTACAAAAAGCTATCTAAAGAATAAATGTACCAGAAGCCTACTTAGTAACTACAAAGATTTTAAAGTTTCCTGATAAATTTTACAGTATCAATTATAAAATATATTTCATATTTGTATTTTGTTGAACAACTGCTTATTTTTGCACTAATTAAATTGCTACAAAAAAGAGGCAGGGAAAGGTGAGCTTCTACACTATCTACTGCATAGCTAAATGTGCTACAGAAACAGTGGGGACTAAATTCAGCCATGGAGACTCAAAGGAAATGTGAGATATAGTGTATAAAGTATATATGTTAACCTGAATGAACTAGAGGTCTGCAATAGAAAATCCATTCCATTAATCAGCATATCACTGCAATATACAATATAAATGCTGTGTTCTGAAATGCTTTAGTTGCCAACAAAAACATTCCATTTTTTATTTTTGCATTCAAAACTTATTCATAATGCACAATAATAGAAATTATTGTTAAGTAAAATACCATTAGAGTATATGTTTAATTTAACTTTATACAGTGATATGGTAATGGAATGGACATCCAATGACTCTAAAATATTTGAGTTATGGGGAGATCAAAGCTTTGGAGGGATATCTAAAGCAGACCTCTAGAATGAACGGAGGCGGGGTCCCTAATGCACACGTAGTATCCAATCGGTTCTCCACGACCTTCCCCAACGACCAGTCGTAGCGATGCTTGCGAAGACCGCCTGGTGCCTGTGGAAGGACATGATGTAGTCAGGTCAACAGAGATGAAGAGAATTAGTAGAAGATGAAGGATATAATAAGTGACATCTTGTAAACAGAAGTGGAAAGATAACTGACACTGATGATTTGGAATGGTTAAAAGTGAGCTAACACAGAATAAAGAAGACAATTACTGTACATAGAGGGATCTGAATAAAATAAAAAATAAATTGAAGGAAGAATAGTGAAGTGCAATAGTGATAACAAATACAGTACGTATGTTATTTTTATCAATTTACTTCTCTATAAACTATTTTCCATCGCTAATTCATGTTCAGTGAGACATTGAATCAAGGATTCCAGACAGCCTAAACAGTACAGGATATACTGTATATCTATGATAGTTCTGCTCACTGAGCTTATTCATTGGTGGGTTGTTTTCTACTGATGCACAGTCTCATAACATGACTGGCATACTTCATAGTTCTCCATTGATATCATTAAATTCTCATATTACAAAAATGTACTTTTCTCTCCTTAAATACTTCCATTTGAATCTGTGGCTACCAATCTAATGCATTCTTAAAGTTACCATATTTCTTAACATTTCAACTCTACTATCCCCATTTGTGTCATAGCCACTCAACATTCTCTAACTCTTTTAAAAGTCTTTCACATTCATTCTTGAACTTATGTATACTTCAATAAGTTTCCAACTGTAAGAGGAGTAATGTATTATCTTTTATCTCTCCATATTTTGAGTATGGTGTGGGAAAATCACTTGAAAAGGGTTCCATTCCTGAGGATGTTCTTATGTCGGATTTGTACATAAGTTGGAACACATGCTATGTGCATACCGTACTTACAGAACAATGTTTAAAATCCCACTATATCAAAGCCTAAGTCATTATATACATCCAAAATCAGTTAATTTAAGACAAAAGAAGAAATAGAATGACAAACTGCTGTACAGCAAATGAAAGTAAAAAATGAGTAATCAGGTAAATAAAATACTGTACTGTAAATTTCAAGTTTAACCCTCCTTGCATTAGCGGGTGTTCGTAAGTAGGGGTACCCCCAGTGTGTGTGTGTGTGTGTGTGTGTGTGTGTGTGTGTGTGTGTGTGTGTGTGTGTGTGTATATATATATATATATATATATATATATATATATATATATATATATATATATATATATATATATATATATATATATATATATATATATATATATATATATATATATATATATATATATATATACAAACAGTGGTCCTTCGGTTAACGAATGTCTCGGTTAACGAATTACCTTCCATAAGAATATTCAATTCGGCTAACAAAAAAAATTGGTTAACGAATTCCTTACGAATTCCTCTCAACATGTTTTCACTTGCTCACCAGCTGGAATATTAGTCCGCCAATACAGTAATCGGTTCTAGGGCTTAAATTCGTTCCCATTTGAGTAAATATCAAGAAGGTTGTACGATTCAATAATTTTCCAAGTTTTATATTAAATTTTTTAGTCATTTTAACAGTTATTTAACATAATTGAAGTACAGGAAACTTATTTTTAGTGTGCCAAAAAGCCACTAAACTCACCAAACAGGCGTCAGTTTGTATCTCTGGTCAGTAGAGGTAACATCTTGCTTGAGACTCTCTTGAACATAAACTATTTTTACGTTTTTACAGTACAATTATTGGTCATTCTGAAATTTATTTTACATATTGACAATATATAGTGCAGTGCAGTGTTAATTTAAAGACAATAATCTTAATTACACCAAGTGAACTTAAAATTTTATGGGTGAAATGACGGCATGAAGCATGGGGTGATTTCTCTTCCACCCCCACTTCCTTCTCTTCTCCCTTCTCCTCCACCCCCACTTCTAATTCCCATCATCATCATCATCATCATCAACCAGGAGCCTTCTACATACACACCACAAAGTAAGTGTACTTTACTGTATTTATTTTTACTTTGTATGTAGTGTACTTTTCAGTGAGCTGGAACCAATTACCCAAAATCCCATTGAAACAATGGTTTCGGTTAACGAAATTTTCGGTTAACGAACAACCTTCTGGAACGAATTGTGTTTGTTAACCGAGTTACCACTGTATATATATATATATATATATATATATATATATATATATATATATATATATATATATATATATATATATATATATATATATATATATATATATATATATATATATATATATATATATATTATATATATTATATAAAGTAATATCTCCGATAGCTGGAATCCCTCTTAGCTGGAACTCTCAGATAGCTAGAATTGAAATTTGTTCTGAATTTTCTGGAAAATTCCAGGAATTTCAACACTGATGGATATTCTCATGAAGACATTTCAAAATTAATAAGTACTACTGTACTCGTATATACCAGATCTACCAAGAAATAATAATTGACAAATCTTATTTTTAATTCAGTCAATATTTATAAAAAAATTCTGAAATTACATTAAAAAGGATATTCATACTTTCTTTATATCTATTTAAAAAAAGTTATACTTTCAGTAATTTAATTGCAAATATGCAGTTGATACATGAATGATTAACAGGTAGGCCTTATGATAATCATGAAATATGACACTACTTTCAAGACCTGAACTAACCGAGCCTATTAGAACCTTCAGATCAACAATGAGTAACCTGTGAGATACTCCCAACTAGAATATCTCCTGGAAAAGCTTGCTTCCCAAGAAGGTGGAGTGTCCAGCAGCAGGTTTCACTGTCCTTATGCATTAGTGTAAGTACAGCATATTGTACTTTAGAGTAGCTCCTCACCCTCGAATCAGGATTAAACCAATGTTTATAATAATTATAATTCCCAGACCAATGTATGCTTCAAAATCCAGTTAGAATTTAGGTTCACAAGGATGAATCCTACTGATCCAGTTCACCTGAATTCCCTATCAATCATAAATTAAATCCCATGCTTTGATGTTTATAACTTACTTGCCATATTACTAGTTGTAGAGACCTCCATTAGACATCAACTTGGAGGATACATGTTTTTTTTCACATTTTGTCTGCCTTTGTTCATTGTGTAATTCTTAAACATTCTGTATGCTATGATCCTTGTGAATACCTGATACTGCACTAGTGTCTGGGGTGGGCATTCCCAGTCTGGTATTTCAGTTGTTTACACTGAAAATTCTTAAGAGAAAAATGGGTACGGTCACTTCCTTTAAGTGAAGCAGATATTTCATCATTTTGGTACAGTTTCATCAATCTCATAATACTATTCAATGATTTGCTACATATACACAATATTAAAGTCACAGGAACTAACTCTACAAACCCTCTGCTCAATGCGGGCCTAGGTAGTTATTCTTACTGACTTGACCCAGAAATAGCTAAACTGCATTTGATATATGATCATATCAACCGTGAGTTCCAGGAAGCGCCATACCTATGTCAATCTTAGGAAAATGGTTACCCATGACACCAAATTAAACTAGGTAAAGAAAACTAGAAAATCTACACACATAACTAGATAAGAGGATGAGGACACATTCTTACTAACATTTGACTTTGGGTAGCAGATGGCAACTGAATAGGCTTTGGACAAAGTTACTGTACATCAAAAGGGCCTAGAGCAGCTTCAGCTCATGCTCACTAGAGTGTTGCCAGCTAACAGGTGCTATGTATTAGTTTGACATGGGATTGGCTGCAAAAACTTGGGAACAATGCTTGGCAACATCGCCTCAGCCGGCTCCTCACATAGTTTAATGTCCGCGTCCCCCTTTAGAGAGCATTACAGCCAGGGTGTAGCATGTATTAAATGCTGATAAAATTCTAAATTGACTCCCACCCCCATGGCACAAGTGCATGGCACCATGGGTGGCATAGCTACACTGGGAGAAGGCAGGAATTATAAGCTGGACATCAGCGTACATAGTGGGATCTACTTTGAGGGATAAGAGATCATACGTGAATAGACATTGTTTCATTGACTATAGACATTCGATAGCCTCATCAAGCTTGAACATAAATGTGTGAAATATTATTGTGATTATATTGCCACTGAGGCGCTGTCTTAATACACATATCAGTGTAATGTCACGCTCCTATAGGCCTTGTTGTTAAGTCGTCCTGTTGTTGTCCACGTGTTTCTTCTTCATGAATTATATCTGTACCTAATTCTATGCCTGTTATTTCTGTATAACTAACAAATAGTGAAGATATGTTTGAGGATTATTTATGTGTTTTTTGTGTACTTGTCACAGGTGTATACGACATTACCACAAGAATAAAGTTGGTTGCTGTACATGTACTTTCTGTCGCCCAACGGGAGAGATCCGCTGTTACAATTATCATCATAACAAAGTTTATCAACATTAAAGCTGAGTAGCAAATTTAAATATCATTCTTTGTTTAATGCACTGTACTGTACTGTACTGTACTGCACTGCACTGCACTGTACTGTGTCAACTTATCAGATGAACGAGCCTGCAACCTGAAGCGTTTTTCCCACAGATCTTTAGTATTTAAAAAAAAAACATGAAAATTAAAGACCAACTGCATATTCTAGTCACTGTTGCAAAATTCATATATTTTGTAAGTTTTATTCTTACTAACATTTTTCCCCTTTATTTGTTCTTCTGAACTTTCTATACCTTACTGGAACATTTGACAGATGTGACCTTTTGGAGAGGAATGTCTATGAAATCTATCCTAGAACAAGGAGCTTGGTCCTCTGCAAGGTCTTCTTTTCAAGAATGCTGACTGAGTAATCTTCAAATGTGTGGCAGAGTAGTACTGTACTTTACTTTAATGTTTGTCTTTTTTTAAAGTACTGTATGTACTGTACTTCCAACCCAAAATGCTACACTTTAGTTTAATTCATTGCACAAAATATTTAATTTTATTTCATATATTACTGGTTTGGAATCACAAGTCACTTTCTCATAACCTACAAGCCATAAATATTGAAGTACCCATACAGTATGAAGTAAAAGAGATGAATGACCTTGTCCGGAACCTCGTCCTTTCCTTGGTGGGATTCCTAACCACCAAGAAAATGTAAGTTTGGATGCAAGTGAACCAACCAGTAGGATTCATCCTACTGAAACCTGAAGTTCACTAGTTTTCAAAGTAACCACTGGGCTGTAAGTCTGAATTACTCATTTGACCCTGGCTTGATGGGCAATGAGCTGTTTTGCTGTAGTTACATTGATCCAGGACAGTGTAAGCTGCTACTACAGTGTCAATGGTGAGTTCAACCACTGAGTGATCTAAATGGTGGAATTTCACCAGTCCTTTGTCTCTCCCCCTTAGATATGGAATGGGATTTCATGCTTCAATCCTCCACTTTTCTGATTCTCACACATAGTACTATGTAAAATATTCACATCTACATATAAAAATTTCCATATCACATGTGTTAACCTAAATATTAATGATTTCAGTAATAAATCTTCTTAAAGTTGAATTTTCCTTTTTCATTCAAAGGCAGGTATTTCAAGGCTTATAAAATCAAAGTTGTATGAATGGTCACTGACCTGGACGTAGGGCTTGGAGGGAGCTATAAGAGGGTCTTCTGGAGGAGGATGCAGATTTAGTTGAAGATCGCAGTGAGTGGGTTCTGCCCCGTGCTGGACTGCTGCTGGTGGATGCATTAGCAGCCAAGGCAAAGGCAGCATATGTTTCTGGTGGAGAGATAGTCATAAAAATTTTCAAAAAAATTGCAATATAATAAGAATCAGGATTCTTCCCTAACTACTTTATGCCATCAATAATATGATCAGATAAAACAATGAGTGATGCAAAATACCAAGCAAATGAGTGATGAGAAAATAGCAAAAAATTACAGTTGAAAATTATTTGTTGATAGGTAAATTCTGCAGAATTTGTGATAAAAAGTTATTAAGGCTGGCTGAGATATATAGTGTAAAGCACTTAACAAAATTGAACACTTCCACGATAATTTGGAATAAAACTTTCACACTGACAAAATTATTAAACTTTCAAGTTTTCCTTTAAGTCCCAATCTAGTTTACTTTATTAAACTGTTAGTGTGTGGTTTCAGTGAAAGATATAAGCCAAATAAAATCTTTCCATTCAGTGAAGGGAAAAGTACTCACAAGAAGATTTAATGTGAGTATTTTGTGAACAATTACTATTAAACCTTTAGGGTGAGAAGGAAGCTATTTAATAATTACTAACGTGCCCTCATATACTCTAAAAAGTACAACTAAGTGATTTAAACTTTGTACTTCAAGCAATAGTATTATTTACACAAGGGAGCTACATATGGGTCTCTTTTTATACTCTATAATAATAGCTCTAAAAATGGTGCTACAGCAACGATACAGGTGATTTATTTACTAAGAATTGCTGCTAAACCTAAATCTCCTTTAATTAGCTCTTCGAAACCCTTTACTATAATATTTCAAACGTACAAACTACCTATTGATGACTAGACAATCTAGTGGATTAATATATTGATGCATTCAACTTTTACTCTAGCATTACCGAAAAACAATGGGATTACTAATTATTACGGAAAATCTAGAAGTCAAAAGGAAACGTTAGACCATACGTCGGGGGACTAACATTTAAAACGTGAAGGAGATCGAAAATCCGCAAATTATCGAAAATGTGAAAATCTAAGAAGACCAAAAATAGCCTTCTGGTGTCAAAATATATTTGGGTAGAGCATGGCATAATGCAGCATCAGCAGCAGCAGCAGCAGACGCATGCGGGCGGGTGGGCATGTGTACCGCGAGGATTTTGCTGGAGGGAGGGTGTAGATCTGACCCCTCGGCCTGGTATGCTTCGGGGCGACCCAGGGTGCTCAGGAATCACCCTCAGGGGTTGGAGGGAGGACCTCTGCTGGGGGGAACTGCAGTGGGGGGGCTGCAGGACTAGGGCGGAGGCACGGCGCTGGGGGTAACTCTGGCGGCGGGCGTACACTTTGTGCCCATGTGCGTGTGTACACACACGACGCTCACCTTCCCGGCTTAGCTGACCTGAGACCCAACTTTACTTGTTGTGGCACACAACCATCGACTCGTTATTGTACAGTGAGGGTGTAGATGATCTGAAGGTGACCTTAAAGTTGCATCAATCTAGTATGCCAATAAAGGTTTACACTTCTTTGGGTATTTAGTACAGTAATGTATATTATCAGTGACAATTTTGAGGAAATTTTTAGCTCAGCAAAACAGTTCCATCTAAGATTTCTACATACCGTTTTTCCCAGTCCTGTGAAAGATTTTGTGGGAAGTGTCTTCATTCAATGTTGTGAAGAAGTAAAAATTATGCCATGTACAAAAAAAATTATAATACAAATACAGTATAAAGGAAATAAAAAATAAAAAAGAATAAAATAATAACCTTAGAGAATACCACCTCTATGATTACCTCAGCCAAAACTCTAAAAAACTAATAATACGGTATAAAATTGTATAAAATCATTTCTTCAGTCTCTGAGCATAATTTCTGCAATAAAACTATGCATACTGTACTAAAGTGAAGGAGATACACTGCAATATATATCAACCAATATCCCAATGTAATACATTTTATTTCACTCGGGGATTCAAAACTGATTAAAATTACAAACGAGTGCTCCAACAACACAGTTGTATTTCAAAGTCTGCTCTGCATGGAATGTACAGTACATCAATAATAAATAGGTATATGAGTGCATCAGATGATAAAAAAGTACCTTAAAAGAACATTTAGATCAGCAGAAAAGTAGGAGTAATGATGATGCATGTGGACAACACTTGCAACTCACCAGAGACCGTGAGGGGTGGATTAATATGAGCATCTGCATAACGACGTGGGCGTACAAAACGGGCACGGGCAAAAATCTTGAGCACAAGACAGATGAGTGCGGACAACACGGACATGCCTAGACCCAGACCCAGTAGTGTGGGAACATCTGCCTTCAGGGAGTCTAAATCTGAGGAAAGGTACAGGGAACATTACATAGTGGAAGGAAAGTGAAGAGAGAGGTCAGTAGAGAAACTAATAAAATAAGATATAATACAGTAATGAATAGCCTACTGATAATGGTGAAATTTTTTAGAGGGTAGTTATATAATTCTTAAAAAATATACAGTACCGGTATATATATTTCTGTAAGCATTGCATCTGGAGTAACACAGAAGAGTGCCATAAAAACTCTACTTAGGGAGTAATTAGAACAAGGAGTAAATTTTTTTGATGATAGGGTATTAGGAGAGAATAATGATACTGTAGTTCGTTTTGGTTGGGGCTAAACTAAATTTTGTTTTAAAGCTAACTTTCCCTCCTCCCACACGAAGTGCACATAATTATTATGTCCCAATTTTTATATTGCATGGACTTGATTTACAAGATACTGTACTGTATATACAGTAGCCATGTAATTACTCATCTATATAAAATGTCACTTAAACTTTTGACTAACAGTACAGTATTATAATTAATTTCTGAGTGATTAGTAAAGTAATGAGATACTGTAATTTATATTCAGTGACTCATTTCTTACAGAAAAATAAAGAAATGAATGTAAGATGAGTTGAAGCATGCACAATACACCTGCTGCTCAGGCTCGGCTCTCATTAACTGAGCTAGAGGAAACATTTGGGAATAAGTACTGTGTAAAACTTACATACACAAAAAATCTAAGGAGAAAAAAAATATATGTACTGTATACAGTATACTGTACGGATATGCAAACATAATACACCAGTAATTACACAGGAAGATATGTAATCCTGAAACTGGAATATACTGACCAGCAATATTCTACACTCACCGGGAAAACAGAGATTTGGCTGGGAGAAGCCCTGGCCCTGGAGGGCCTTAATTTCGTATTTCTCGCGACATTGACATTCAGTGTAATTAATAGCATACTCCCGGCAGATTGCGTGCACATCATGAAACTGGCATTGGTCATGATGCACACAGGGTTTACCAAGTTGAACAGCTGTGGGATGAAAGGAAATAATTACCTAGAGTAGGCCTATCCTGAACCAAGTACTGTACTGTACTCGAAAGAATATTCCTTCATTTCTGTGGTACATGAGAGGTTGAAAATTAAACTGGATACACAAGGGATATTGAAAAGTTTTACTGAGAATTATATTGTTTACCTATATACTGTACATTCCAAACCAACTGTAAACCTGTACTACAATGATTTTACTGAATAAATATTATTACTATTATTATCAGGTGAAATAAGCTGGGTGACTAATCTTCAAATCATCCGAAGTTTCTTGGGTACGTAATTATTCCGCAAACACCAGCATAAGATTTAAGCATGAATAGCAAAAATTTTTAAAGAAGTTTTCCATGTTGAACACAGTGGTGATATTGAATGTTTGGGAAAATGCATAATTATTAGTTATAACCTTTCCAACCCTACTCCTCAAGGCACCTGTGGTTCCTGCAATGAGCTTTCAGGCAACAAATCCAAGGTCCTTACATGACAACGCTGTAAGATAGATTACCACAAGGGAAGTTTAAGACTGTCTGAGGATTGATTTAACACCTTGTGTATGGGGGTCTCTCTGTGCTAAATAAAATCATCTGGTCATAGCCAATTTTTTTTTTATCCTCTTTGCCACTGATTGGCTCATTAGCCGCTTGGGCGATTGGTCACGTCTCTGATTACTTTTCCTTTTCATTTATTTTCTTCACCAAAAGATCGGCTTGCTCGCCGCCCGGGCGATTGGTCACGTATCTGTCATGCACTGTTGGCAAATACTGGGCATGCACCGGCTCCTGAATGTACCTGAACCCGCTCCAGTGTTGGTCAAGTCTTGTCTTGAAAGAGCTCACACTCGGTGCCGCCACAACACTCTCTGGTAGATTGTTACAAGAGTTCACAACTCTCACTCCGAAAAAGGTTGCCCTCACAGTTTTCTGGACTTGCGGCTTCTTTAATCTTGAGCTGTGACCCCTTGTGGGGTGAGCGTCCGCCAGCTCAAATTAAGGACACTCGACTGAGTAGTGCCCCCTGAGATGCTTATACACCTCAACTAGGTCCGCCCTTGCCCGTCTGTAGTATAAGCTAGGCAAGTTCAGGTGCTCCAATCTCTCATGGTAGCTGAGGTGCCGAAGTGCAGGCACCAGTCTGGTGGCCCTCCTTTGAACATTTTCAACCAACTGACAGACCCTAGCATATCTCGGGGACCAGATAGGGTGACAGTACTCCAGATGGGGAAGCACTTCACTCCTGAAGATCGTTACGAGGGACGGACCCTCTAGATATCTGAACGACCTTCTTATAAGACCCTATAATTTATTTGCCTGATTTACCTTCTTCTCGCAATGGCCCGAGAACTTCAGCTCATTGTCAACATACACACCTAGGTCCTTCTCACATTCAGTCTCAACTAAATTAAAGGTGGTATCCCTGTATTAAAGGGGTGAAAGCACTTAAATGCATCTCAGGTTATGACAATAAGCATGCCATTATTCTTTGCACAGAATGTATGAAAACCACCTCTAGTGGGTGACCATTAGGCAAATAAGTAGGTAAATAAGTTAAGGAGTTAATTACGACTGTTGAGAATCATGAAAACAATATACATGTATTTAAGTTAGACAGAGAACAAGACTAAAAATAACAGAACTCCAGCAATCAATGTAGAAATCGAACAATGCATTCTGGTGTTAGTCATCTGCTCCAGGATTACCAACTTAATAAATGTACAGTGCAGGCCAGTAAATGAGGATCACCATCCCTGAACACGAGCACAGGAAGGATATTTTGAAGAAGGCACAGAACCTCAAGCACTTTATGGAGTACAGCAATGTGTACACCACCCCCGACCTGACAATTTGCCAACAAAAAAAAATAGCAAAGATCTCAGAGACAATCTGAAATAGTTATGCAGGGACCCACAATATGGGAATGTTCAACTAAAACTCAGAAGAAGCCAAGTAGTCTGGTCAAAGAAATGGTCCAGCCCTCCCACCAGTAAGGGCAAGAGGTGAATTAACTGTAAATAATGTTAAAATCGTGCATGCTGTAACTTAAAGTAACCCCCTGTACTGAATGCATTGTAATACTATTAACCCAGAAAGAAGAAAGCCCCAAATGACACATTAGTGATTCTACCAATGGTAAGGAGGCGTATCACATGTCCCAATGGGATGAAGAAACTGCACTATTTGAGACTGAATGTGAGACGGACCTAGGTGTGTATGTTGACAATGAGCTGAAGTTCTCGGGCCATTGTGAGAAGAAGGTAAATCGGGCAAATAAATTATTGGGTCTTATAAGAGGGTTGTTCAGATATCTAGACGGTCCATCCCTCGTAACGATCTTCAAGAGTGAAGTGCTTCCCCATCTGGAGTACTGTCACCCCGTCTGGTCCCCGAGATATACTAGGGACTGTCAGTTGGTTGAAAATGTTCAAAGGAGGGCCACCAGACTGGTGCCTGTCCTTCGGCACCTCAGCTACCCTGAGAGATTGGAGCACCTGAACTTGCCTAGCTTATACTACAGACGGGCAAGGGGTGACCTAATTGAGGTGTATAAGCATCTCAAGGGGCACTACTCAGTCGAGTGTCCTTAGTTGGAGCTGGCGGACGCTCGCCCCACAAGGGGTCACAGCTCAAGATTAAAGAAGCCGCAAGTCCAGAAAACTGTGAGGGCAACCTTTTCCGGAGTGAGAGTTGTGAACTCTTGTAACAATCTACCAGAAAGTGTTGCGACGGCACCGAGTATGAACTCTTTCAAGACAAGACTTGACCAACACTGGAGCGGGTTCAAGTACATTCAGGAGTCGGTGCATGCCCAGTACTTGCCAACAGTGCATAACAGAGACGTGACCGATCGCCCAAGCGGCTAACGAGCTGGTCAGTGGTGAAGAGGATAAAAAAAAAGAACACTGGAGGGATCTTACACATGCCACTGGTTTCTTTTCCTTAGTATGGCTGCCTCTAGTGGGTGGCCATTAAGTAAATAAGGTCAATCCTTATCCCCACCTAACCCTTACCTGATTTGTGTGTCACTAAGTGCAATATACTCTTTTTCTTTTGATTGTTGAGCCTTTCATTTCTCAGTGTATTTCATGATATGGGGTATAAATTTTTCCACTGTAGTCAAATATGTTGCAGCTACACTCTATCAAACAAAATTGATTATTCGGTTATAATTTACAGCAAATGACAACGCTAGTAACAGAAATCTCACCACAAGAGTGACCATTTTATGGTAATTTTTCATGCTTACATAGGTTACATAAAAAGCTGTGAATGCCCAAATTACTTTTTTACAAGAACTCTGACACAACATGCTCACAGAATTCATCAATATCAGAGGAAGTCATGCAACAGTTAGGTGACCTTCAGGAGAATCTGGTGAAGATATAGACCAGTACAGGTACAATACTGACACAGGGACAGAGGAACTTAAGGATTGTCCAAATGCAAGAACAGTAAAATTGTGTGCCGAGTCCCTGAGAGTCAGGAGACAAGACTGAAAATGGGAAAACACTTGACATGATTAATTTTTTTTTTGCATTTATGAAGACAGATTGTACATAACAGCTGTCCCAAATAAAGGGGAGAATCAGTAGAAACACTTGTGTCCCTCCAGAATTATAAACAATAAAAAATTTTGTACAGTAGGGTCGGGATGTATCGCGAGATAGGGTTCAACGATGTTCACTATATACTAAATCGCAATATATAATTACATGTAATCAATGGGGAAATAGGGTTAGGTTCTGGAGGCCAATAAAAGTGACTAAACTTGACTTAACGAGTTTATTTTCTTACTAACTGAAGCACCAATGAACACTAGACTCTGGAACAACAGGGTGTTTCAATATCAAAGAACACCAGATTCAGCAGCTGAGACACCATCCCGGGAACACCAGACTCGGCAGCTGAGACACCATCCCGGGAACACCAGACTCGGCAGCTGAGACACCATCCCGGGAACACCAGACTCGGCAGCTGAGACACCATCCCGGGAACACCAGACTCGGCAGCTGAGACACCATCCCGGGAACACCAGACTCGGCAGCTGCCACTCTCACTTTATAATTCCACACATACATAAACGAACAAACCAAAAATATTAGTTACAGCATTAAATCTTTTCCATTAAGCTTTCCACTCTCTTCACTTCACTTTTCACGTCACTAGCAACCCATTTACACTCACCTTAGAAGTCGTAATCTGCAGCAGAGTCGGCTGCTTACTCGTCACTCGCTCAGAAAGACTGAGTGGGCGAGCGTGAATGCATGGGTGAGCAGCCATGGTGGTGCCTCTGCTGAGCAAATAACGCATTTGTTTGCCATGGCGGTACATTTGAAATATTTCCTGCCCGATTTCCCCTGCGAAATAAATAAATTTTTCGCTATACTGTATACCCTAGTGAAAAATGTCGATAATTTTGGTAGCTGCGATATAAAAAAATCTTTATAAAAAGTTGCGATATATCCCGACCATACTGTACTGTACAAGGAAAATTATCATTCAACAGGCAAAACTTAGCAGTCATAACTTAGCTTTTCAGAACACTTTCATTAGTCCAGATTGCACAGCAAAGCAAAGGGAGACATGCAATAAACTACTGATGAACATGAAGCAGAAGAGAGAGGAATCAAGGAAAGACAGGAAGGAGTCTGGTAAGTTATATGCAAAGGATGATTAGAGGAGGCAAGTACAACTGCGGGACCTGAGGAATATGTGTCTGCATTTGGGAACAGTGAGTTGACTCCCAACTCCACAACCTCCCCCCACAGGTGGAAGTTGACAACTTATGATTATATCTGACTGAGCTCACGTTTGACGCAGAATTTGTTGTCAATGGCGACGGGATGGTGTTTGTCGCACTTGCAGGTCTTGGTCTTGTTGTCGCAGATGGTATGGGTTCCCGGGCCACAGAGATCCTCGCAGGGGTCGCCAGGCCCCGCCTTGGCTGAAACATCAAAGAAATTGAAATAAAATGTGATGGAATATTAGTAGGCAGCACTTTTGAGGTATTGCACCATTGTAAAATATGTAATGTAAAGTACACTGCTATTCTCATAAAATGGAAGAACTGCAAAGCTATCTCTTAGTATGCAATGACCTAAACTTGTCCCTGTTGTCATATTTGTAGAAAACAGTTACAATTAATATGTAGATAGCACATTAGACAAAGAATGTTTTGCTTTGACCTCAACTACTTTCTCATTGGTTAACAAATCAGCTGTCGAGATGCTGCCATTTCACCTTTTTTTGCCTGTTGTCTATGTCAATTGATTACTTTAGGGTGAACTTTTTCAATGTAGTATTCCAAATTCGAAAGTTTCTATTTCCTATTGTGACGTGTCTAATAAGTAGTTAGATAAGGAGTACTCCTTTCCTAAACTATGTACAGTATTTATAAAAATTATTTTTACAAATTAAAACTATAATGCATATATTGTATCAACATGGTTAGTATATCTTGAGAGTACCAACAATGACATATGTTCAGGTGTATGGTAAAGAGCACAGTATATGTTTGCCAACATTGTGTAACAGAGTAATGACCTATCCACGACTGACTAGTAAGCTGCTGGCAAGTGGAGAAGAGGATGATAAGGTAAAATATAAAAATTGATGCAGCTGCTGTAGCATCAATAGACTGCTCAACGAGGTTTTTGGTTCATGAATCATATTCGATGTTTCTCACTACTGCAACTGAAGAAACCGATTACAAATCTACCCTTATTTTTGCTATATCACATCGAGTTTTCAGTCAGGGATCATGAGCTCTAAGCAAAACACAAAATTGTGAAGTTCAAAATTGCAGAAGTGGAATCTCCTGCACCATGCTCATATTTCTCTCTTCAGAAAACATAAAGAGTTTTTCATAAATTATTCAAGGTAGAGCAGGTCCGTGTATTACCACACTGCTGTGGTTTGATGGTGTTTTTAGATGCACTAGATCATAAGGCTCATCCATCTGAGCACTGTACTGTCTTTTTTTTATTGACCACTTCAATACTGATTTGAAAGCTGTTCTTAAAAAAGGAAATAAATTACCTAGCATACCAATGGCTCACTCAGTTCATCTAAAAAGAGTCCTATGAGAATATGGTTGTGGTACTTAAACTTATCAGATACTGAATTTCACTGGCACATATGTGGAATCATTGGCCTACTCATGGTTTTACATTTTGTTTGTGATGAGTGGGGATCTCCCATGTACTGCACTAGGTGAAGCAATGCACCACAGTGGCTATAAGACGTTTACACAACCTATCTTATGCTCTAGTCTTAGTCAGCCAGTTTGATAAGCTCTCACATCTCCATTTACGAGAATAGTTTAATGTACGACCATTGAAGAATCCGAACCCAGGTTATATTTATCTGTATGTTATAAATTCTAAAAATAACCAAAAAGCTGATGTCTGTTTTAATATCATGTAGATTATTTAAATGCGTGAAGTTTGTTCTACTGTTATGTAAGTATTAATGATATTTTTTGGTGCTTCTGTTATGTAGGTAAAAATTATAACTGCTATTTTTGTTCTATTGTCAGTTTTGCAGGTAAATAACATTCATTCATTTCATTCATTCACAAAAAAGTTTCATCATAAAGTATTACGCTTCATTGAATTCAATCTTTGTTCCTGATTAAATCCATAACAACCCAACCAATGTGAAAAATTTGTTTAAATATCTAAAATCACGTACAAATTGAAAGTAAAGTTAGTACGGCTGATTTTTGGCAGACCACTGACTATTATAAACGTCTCCAAAGAGAGAAAAAAGAAACAAAAACGAGAACAAAGAGAAAAGAGAGGAAAAAAGAGTTCTTGTTCAGAGAAAGAATCAAGGGTAGCTAAAAAATTATTAGTGTTTACATTGCTTCCCTCGCAGGAAAAACATCCACAAGTCAGGTCAGGTAAAGCATGCATAACTAAATACACTACCGTCATAAAATTAATGCTAAACAGTACCAAGATCATTGTGGATCTCTCTCTCTCTCATATATATATATATATATATATATATATATATATATATATATATATATATATATATATATATATATATATATATATATATATGTATATATATAAATATATATACATATATATATACACAGTAAGAATGTAGTTAGCCTAGTGAGGTGTGGCAGGGTAAGGGAGACAAGAGGTAGCAGCCAGCAGGCAGTGTGTGTGTAAAGAGGACGGTACGGAGAGCGGGTGACGTATGCTGCTCCACCTACACTACCACCTCCACTATCACCACCTCCACCTACACTACCACCTCCACTATCACCACCTCCACCTCTCACCCACCTCCACCTACCACCTCCTCCCACCTACACCACCTCCTCCACCTACACTCACCTCCACTATCCCACCACCTCCACCTACACTACCTCCCTCCCTACACTACCTTCTCCCACACTTACCATCACCTCCACCCTACCTTCTCCCACCTCCTATCACCCTCCCCTCCACCTACACCTACACTACCACCTCCTCCTCCCTATACTCTACCTCCCCTACCTTCTCCACACCCTACCCACCTTCTCCCACCTACACTACCCACACTCCTCCACACCTCCCTATCACCACCACACTACCACCTCCTCCCACCTTCTCCCACCTACACCTACACACACCTCCTCCCACACTACCTCCCTCCCACCTCCCCTACACACACCACCTTCTCCCACCTCCCACCTTCTCCACCTCCACCTACCTTTCACCACCTTCTCCCCACCTACATCCTCCACTCCCACACACTACCTCCTCACCTCCACTACCACCTCCATTCCTTTCACTACCACCTCCTCACCTACTACCTCCTCCACCTACACCACCTCCCACTATCACCACCTCCACCTACACACCACCTTCTCCACCTCCCACCTACCTCCACCTTCTCCCTCCACCTACACTACCACCTTCTCACCTACACCTACACCTCCTCATCACCTACACTACACCTCCTCACCTACACTACCTCCTACACTACCTCCTCCCACCTACACACTGCCACCTCCTCCCACCTACCTACCACCTTCTCCCTACACTACCACCTCCTCCTACACACCACACTCCTCCACCCACCTCCTCCACCTACACACACACACACACCTCCTCCCACCCACCCTACACACACTACCTCCTCCCACCCTACCTCTATCACCCACTACACCTCCTCCCACCTACACCCTACCTACACACCTACACCACCTCCTCCCACCTACACACACACCTCTCCTCCACCTCTTCCCACATCCTCCACCCTACACCTGCTACTGCCTACACCTACACTACCATCACCTACCCACCTACACTACCCACCCATCACTCACCACACTACTGCCTCCATCACCTGCACCTGCACTGCACCACTGCACTCCATCACCTACACCCCTGCCACCTCCTCCACCTCCCACAACCACCTCCTCCACCTCTACAACCACCTCCTCCAACTCTACTACCACCTCATCCACCTACAATACTACCTCCTCCACCCCCACTACTACCACAATCACACTAGCACCACTACAACTACTAACACCACTTCTACCGCCACCACTATCACTACAACATCGTCTACCACCATCATCGTTATTGCCTCCAAAATCATTACCACCTTCGCCACCATCATCATCGCTATTAATTATGCCTTCATCACTATACCACCAACACCATCACCACCACCACTGTGAAAAAGACCTCTACAACCACCACCTACAGCATTATTACTACTACTTTCATAACCACCATTACTACCATCTCATTAACACACACACACACACACACACACACACACACACACACACACACACACACACACACACACACACACACACACACACACACACACACACACACACACACACACACACACACACACACACACACACACACACACACACACACACACACACACACACACACACACACACACACACACACACACACACACACACACACACACACACACACACACACACACACACACACACACACACACACACACACACACACACACACACACACACACACACACACACACACACACACACACACACACACACACACACACACACACACACACACACACACACACACACACACACACACACACACACACACACACACACACACACACACACACACACACACACACACACACACACACACACACACACACACACACACACACACACACACACACACACACACACACACACACACACACACACACACACACACACACACACACACACACACACACACACACACACACACACACACACACACACACACACACACACACACACACACACACACACACACACACACACACACACACACACACACACACACACACACACACACACACACACACACACACACACACACACACACACACACACACACACACACACACACACACACACACACACACACACACACACACACACACACACACACACACACACACACACACACACACACACACACACACACACACACACACACACACACACACACACACACACACACACACACACACGGTCTTAATATACAGGAAGCCCCGTAAGACAAATATGAATGCGGGCTGTGCAAGTGTATAACCACAAAAATAGTTCACAGGCGACCAAATTACGGACGACCACAGCACGCCAGCCTCGTATCAAATATTTGTGGCGACCTTCTTGAGCCACTGAATGTTGGGGGGATGAGGGGGAGAGAGTGAGGGAAGAAGGAGAGAAAGAGGGAGGACTGGGGAGGAAGAAGAGGGGAGAGAGAGTGAGAGGGAAGAAGAGGTAAGAGGGATGGGAGAGAGAGGGAGATTAAGCGGAAGGAGAAGTAGAGAGAGAGAGATGGTTGGAAGGAAAAAGGTAGAAAGAGATGGGTGGACAACACAAAGGAAACAAAGAAGAGACAAATGAAGAGAGAGAGAGAGAGAGTA